ATTAATGATAAAAGCAGTTTTTCTCCCATGTATCTTTGATAATGTTTTTCAGCTGTGAACTTCACTGTCTGCTTATCTAACACTGTCCTCGTACCTCTTTCTGCTAGGTCCTGTGCTGCTTATACTCATGACAGACAGAAAAATAAATAAACCCCAGGAATTAGATCACCCAAGTTCATTACAGGTCTTGGATTTGCAGAGGTGAAAGTCTCATGTAGTATCCCGGTGTGTTCCTCAGCCTCCCCAGACCGGTTAATTTTAAAGTGATCATTTAGCACTAACCTGGAAACACACGACAGCCTTCAAAATCAAAACAATCTGTTTAGGCAGGTGGGAAATGAGACCAGTCCTAATGGCTATAATGGTTTTCTGTGAAGGCCCCAGGCCTCATTTTGTCTCTGATAGCAATATAATCTTTTATAGCGTCTGTGAAGTTTCCTAATAAATAAATGTTCCTTGTTCCTGGTGGTTGAAGATGCTGTACAGGTGCATCATGAAAGTGCATTGACAGACTGTCGGTTTTCAATTCAAGACCTCTTGTCAAGATCATTTTACAAGATATTTCAAAGGACTATACAAGAAATAAAAAAGCAATGTAGCTGCAGCAGGGATTTAGTAATAGATTCCCTTGCTGTCTGGGAGCTGTTAGGGATATAAGTTGCATCAGTTTTCCCAAATTCTTTCAACTCCGTAATTAGCAGTGCTTGCAAATGTGCCCTTAGTTTGGCAAGTGGGGAGGGAATGAAGGAAGGTAAGAAATATGAATGACAGAGAAAGAGCAGCTGCTCCAGAATATTTTCTGTAGCTCCAGTCATTCATCACTTATTCTTTGTCTTGGTTGTTTTTCCAGAACTGGAAATGGGATTAAAATAAGGAAGAGAGGAGGGAGATGGATTCCTCACTTGCTAAAAATGCAGAGAAATTCCCTTTTTCCCTAGTTCGGTATTTTTACAAGTTCCCATTTCTGTTTAACTTCCCTGTGAGTAAGAGAAACGGTACACTTCCCTGCAGCAAATGTCTAATGTGACAGAGGGAGAAGCAAAATAGGAAGGCAATGGAGGGAGTTAAAATACCCATTTGATTATTGAAAAGTTAAACTGCAGCATCAGGTAGGATATTTTTCCTGCATGCAGGGTTGTCTCTTGGTGCCTTAAGCCCTGATGTGGTGCAAGGTGATCCCGCCTGGATCACCAACATTTAGTTATCCTCACAAAAATCCCTGTGAATTGCTCGTCTTCCCTGGTGTATAGATAGACACAAAGACGTTGATATGCACTGAACTATTGCCCTCCCTTTTTCAGTGATGGGTGTGGCAAGGTGTGTTATTCTGTAATACAATGTGGCAGATTCTCTCTCTCTCTAGGGTTTATTTCCTTGCGTTGTCACACAGCTATGAATAATGTGTTCCTGCCCTTATAGACTGTCCACACTTAGACCACTCAGAAATCCTAAGCTGTTTTTGTATTAGGAACTTCTATAAATATCTGATCCCGTGGGGCAGCAGAACGGTAGCTGACAGCAAGCTTGAGTAACCCCTTAAAGTCATCTTAATAGAAAGTTTAAAATTTGTGACTAATCCTGTTAAATGAAGGAAGAAAAGGAATTCATCTTAAAATCTTTAGAGCAGATGCATCATTTGAGTAAGAAACCAATGTGCCTGAATTAGAAATGTCATAACTTCAGAGAAGCTAAGTCAGTAGTTCAGAATGAAGTGACATAGCTTTTAAAGGAAGGCAAGCAACATTGCTTTCCCAAAAGCAATTGGGAATACAAATTGTGTACACCTAAAAATAAGTAGTGTGAAATATAAACATGTGAAATAACGTAGAAATAAGAAGAGAAGGATATTTCCCCCCCTCCCCCCCCAGCAAAAAAAGAAATTAATTTCATCTATTAGGTTTGGAACACAAACCCTGTTTTCTTCAGAAAGGATGCTGGCATTGCAGTAAGGGCACACTTGTTCCTGCTAGATTGGCCTTGGAAGATACTTTGCCTGAGTTAATGCATTAGAACAGAGTGAGCCCGTATTCTTCTCTTCACATGCAGTTCAAGCTTACTTTTTATTGATGGCAGCCTCTTTTATCTTTTTACCAGAAATATACATTTCTAATAATACTGCAAATCAGCTTAGACACTACACCTAGAATTATCTACCTAAAAAATAGGCATTCTATTCATTTTGGTAACTGGAAACAAATGGTCTTTCGCTCATGGTACAATGAGCAGATAACTGAAATGATCATGCATATTGAGCATTTCTGTTTGCTTATGTTGCAGTATGACAGAGAAGCCCCAAGGAGGCATAGCGTGGGCTTGTCCGAGCGTGAAAGGGCTTGCAAGAGATAACACTGCTTTTAGGCAGAGGACACACTATTGAACCTGTGTCATTCCTGCCAGGCATTAGTCAACCCTGCTCTTAAAGCCAAACTCCGTGTTCCCCCGCAAAGTCTGCTCTTGAGCTGGGCTGTCACTGCCATTAGAAGCGTGTACCTAACGTTGGACCGCGGGGTCTTCTGGTCATGTCCACCCTGAGCAAGCAGAGTGGTCCATCCCCCGCCTCGCTGCAGCAGCCTTTGGTATAGGGCAGTTATCATGTCCCCCCTCCGTTTTTCTTTTTAATGTTAAACAACCCCAACTCATTCAGTCTGTAATTAATGACAGTCCCTGCCCCAAGCAGCTTGGTAGTGGGCCCGATCAGCCTGATGTCATTACTTCACCATGACAATTTTCTAACTAACTCCATGTGATATTCCATCTGTCTGACACTATTAAAAACTTTTTATATAGCCCTTACTATTGTAGTTGCTGAGCTCCCCACAAACATCACAGTGAGGAAGTGCTGTTATCCCCACCGAGGCACAGAGAGACCGTGACCTGCCAAGATCACACAGTGAGTCTTATCAGAGAATTAAATGTAGGTCTCTAAAGTCCTTGGCCAGCTCTAGCTGTATGGTATGTTAATGTGGAGAATCAGGGTGCTCCTGAAGTGGCAAGCAGTTAGGGAAAGTATGAAATTGTATGTGAGAATTTTATTATTTTTTAATAAAATCTCACTTTATTTTTAATAAAGGTAAGATTATGCACATGATACCCCAGAAAAAAGTAGTTAAGTAGCACATTTTTTTTGGTTCTTGTCTGAAGTAATTTAATAACAGCACAATTACACCTTGTTGTTCGTCAGACGTAACTGAGAAGCCATTTAATCCTCATGCGCCAAGAAGTTTGCAGTTAAATTCTGTTTGATAAGTCTTAAGTTAAAGCACTAGCACATGGGTAAGGAAGCTAAAGTTAGGCGAGTGGCCCTCAATTTTGTTTCCCAGAGCTTGCTGCTGTGTGATTTGCTTTCTACTTTATATTGAATAAGGGGTGTGTTAATGGGTGGCCCACCAAAGGCATCTGAAAGTCCTACTTGGTCTTCAACAAAGAGAAGCATTCTTGGTTTAGCCTTCAAGCAATAGACTGTCAGGAGCACATACATTTTTAGCACCGCACACGTACACTAATTCAGAATGAACTTTTTGCATCTGTGCTGTAGGTAGATGTAGAACACCTTTTTGGCACTTTCAGAGTTTAACCATTCTGATCATGAAAATACCAAGACGACGTTAATTCCGCTAAATCTCATTTTGCTCTTTACAAATGCAGTGCGGCAAGAAGGGGAGAGGAGAACCACCTTAATTTTTCCTTGAGACGATTTCACTTAGTCCCAGATTAACTCTTAAATCTTGCTTTATTTAACTCACTGAGTATTTTCTTGTAATGTGCACAGATTATATTGTAAAATCTCTTCAAAGGTCAATTTAGAACCTTCTAAGCAAATAAACACAAAATAAAAGAAAAGGCATTGGAACTGTTATCTATCTGAGAGCTTAACAAAAGGTATGCTAGCTTAATTTGAGCCAGGGGTGCTGGATGGAGATTGTGTTTAACCAGAAATGCTGGCAAAAATATGCTTCAGTAGAGCCAGAACCACATGTGGCCATTCCACTTTAATTGTGCTTGTTTTAAAAGATAGGTCTTTAACATTTACCCTCTCCATGCTTGCTGTCTCTTTATGAACTGAAAATAAAAGCTCCCCAGGCAGTCATACTAAGACCTCAAGCCTAAAATTTTTCAGCTGAGTCAAAAGCAAAACCTGTGCTGAGTCTGCCCCACGCATTTTTTTGTAGCCATAAGAAGGTTGGACTTCTCTGCTGGTTTTTTCCCCGAGTCCCCAGGCCAGTCCTAACCCAGGGAGCGAGTGTTTTGATACTAAATGTATCTCCTTGGTGAGGTCAAAGGCAGTGGCAGCAGCGCTACTGGTTCGAAGGCAGCCTGCTGTAATATACTACAAAACCCAAAAGTACGCTCAACAATAACAAAAGCATTAACCGCTGACCCACAACTTGGTGAAATTCAATCCCACCATTAGGCAAACATGAAAATGAGATCCCAGAGGAAGAAAGGTTCAGATGTTCAAGACCAGAGAAATTGGGTGAGGAACAGAGACAACGATGGAAGTTGTTGCAGACTGAGGAGAGAGAGGGGGAGGTTGCCAGTTCAGCGGTAGGATCTTTTAATACCATAAATTTCAACATGCACTTGGCAGTCAGTGTCTTTGCTCCACTTTGGAACAAAGCAGACTAAAATGATTTGTAATAAAGATACCTTTCACTATTTCAGGGACACGTTTAATGCGATATAATTTGATTTGCCAGGGGTTGCTTCAGAGCTTCACGTTTCCAGATTTGCTTTAAGCTAGATGCTTGTGTTGATGTGTAGGTGCTCACTGCAAGGCTGGAATGTTACAGGAACCTGAAAGAGCTAAGCACCCAAGCCTGACTCAGTTTTACCTTGTGTCAGATGGTTACAGATTTGCGCTGCTGTAACTAAGGATATTTCAGGGAGAGTCAAATGCCAAACTCATGAGCACCCTAGAAAATACCAGTCGTAAATCCTGTGTGTTTCAGTAACGAGCCGTGGGTCTGTGTGCTATAAAGCTTTCTGTACGCACCCTGCAGCCATCATTGGCAGGAAGGTGGACACGGGGGCACTGGCAGGACTGCACGCTCTCTCAGTTGTTGTTATAGTGCGTTGCTTTTTTCTCCAGAACACACTCACTGCAGATGACCGTTCTCCTGAAGACAGCTTCACCCTGAACCCCGAGGACAGAAGAGAATACCCTGATCTCCAGGCTGCCCACCGGCCGTTCCCTAAGCAGCGATTCAGGCAGGAAAATGGGCATACGTCCTTGCAAAGAGATGGACCCAGATCTTTCCTCCTGGATCTCCCAAACTTCCCTGACCTGTCAAAAGCAGATATCAATGGGCAGAATCCCAACATTCAGGTACAAATTTATGTTAACGTGATTTTTTTATGAGCTGCACAAAATTATTTTACTGAACCGAGAGAACTTTCAGCCTGGTTTCCATGACATCCAGTCAGAACACCCTGTCTCTCTACCAATAGCACCAAGAGAGAATGTATATAGTATAGTATAGTATAATATAATATAATATAATGTAATATATAAAAACATATAATATACTTTTTGTATTAAGTGAATGCCCAGATTTCAATTTTTTTCTGAATTTCTCTTTGGATAGTGTTGATTGCATAAGTGTGGGTATCAATATAGACCTATATTATGATACTAAAGCCATCTTTGCTATTGCCATTTTAGAACATATTCTCTTCATTGATATTAAATGGGTATTTTAAATCCTGTTTTCAATTCTCTGTTGCAAAATTTGTTTGTGAACAGATTCTCTTTTGGTATGCTATTATAATGCAACCATCCCCAAAGGTTATAAGAGAACAAGTCTTTAAGTTTCAGTTCCAAATGTGGTCCTCTGTATGGAACTGAGTCTTAAAGCTAATTTCTGCAGCAGCTGCCTGGAGTAAAAAAAAGTTGCCTGCAAGAAACTTTGTTATATGTTATTCCTCAAACTGTTCTTGGGTTTGGAATGGCCTCTGACAAGCCACTTGCATCTTGAAACTTCAAGGATTAGAAAGAGGAAAAAATGAGTGATTTGTTTTTAATTCAGAGCCTTAAAGCGAAATTGGCATTAATAAGCAGTCTTTTTTAACCAAAACAATAAATTGAAATGTTGTTCTGCCTAAGATGTGCTTATAAAAACAATACACTAATAGAACTGGTTTTCTGGTTAAATTAATTCCTGGCTTCTTATAGTCCCCCAGCCCACAAAATTACCATCCTTTTGATATGTCTAAGAAGTACGTATGTAAAGATAAAATAGATCTGTTGGTGAGAGACCAACATGATCGGGTGAGAACAAGCTGTCTCCAAGTCCACGCTCCATTACGTCATAGATGGCTTGCAACCTTTAGAAGCCTAGCAGATTTGGATCAAGTGTGGGTCCAACTCTTGACGGGCCAAGGTAGTAAACATGTTCAACATGTGGTGACTGTACACATCCCTCCCGCTAGGAGAAGCCTTCCAGAAAGCCTTAGGAAGGGAAGGTAGGGAAGCTATAGGGGCCCCAGATTGTGGCATGAGGTAAATAGTGTAACATCATTGTTTGAACAGTATGTAAACTGCAGAGGAGGACAGGAGGAAACAAAAACCTTCTCTGATTGGTAACAGCATTTAATGTTTAGACCCAGGGAATAGATAAATGAGATGGAAACATTTCCCTGGCTTGTCTTTATAGTAACTGCTTCTGCTGTGACCTCTTTTTCCACCACCTGATCCTGGAAATGTGTCAGCCAACTATGTCAGCAGTTTTGCTGGACTCTGAGAACTGAGAAGCCTAGTCCTGTTAACTGGAAAACATTGGGCAATGTTAATCCCCAAGCTCTTGTGCGTAAGGATCAGCTCTTTCAGAAACAGGCTCCCTAAGTTCTGCATTATATTTAGTCTGCTTACTTAGGTGTATAAATAGGGATATACAAAGCTTCTTTAAGTTCCTGGTTGACAGTCCTGCGGCAGGTTAGGCCTCATGGAGATAAAACTCCCATTAATTCATTACAGAGTCAATGGAAGTTTATTTCTTTGCTTAAAGGTTGTAAAAGGTGGCCTACTCTTTCAGGAAAAATAGGATTATAGTGAATTCTTGCTCATTAAACAGTACCGTAGTGACCTGAATGGAAATAATGACACTTGTTGACTTGCAAATTTCTCATCAGCTGTTTGGCAGGTGAGAGCAGAACTGATACTCATTTTTCTTTTTGCACAATGGTTTCGGGATCTGTAAGGTGCACTCCTGGGGGTGTTAATTTAAAAGTCCTGCTAGGACAGTGAAGTTAGAAAGGAGAAAAAAGCTTCTGTGTGTTAATCTAGCACAATGGCCTCATTTACTTCTCAAAGACCCACAACTTCTTTTCCCTTCTACTAGTACAAACCTGCATAGACTAAAAATAACATTTTTAAGGGAAATTATACCTGGAAATTTTAAACACGTAAAACTCAGCCTGAAAAAGCAGGTCGAAAAGATACTCCAGTGAGTTCTCTTTATGGCCATTCCTTCTCTGGTTTCCTGTAAGATGGCGATTGTTGTATCATGCCCTGGTTGTGTGCTCTTCCAGGGAGGAAGTGGTGGATATCAGAACACCATCACAGGAATTTAGAAAATGAACATGTCCCCAGGTACTACTGTATTTATCAAATGTAAGTATAGTGGACGCTCTTTTAAGA